ATCCCATACTACAGGTAATTATTAATAATAATAAATTTTAAAATAGACAATGACTATGAGACAACTAAAAGTTCCAAGTGGATCAGGAAAACATTATTATATTAAGAAAAGGAATAGTGCTTTTATTTCAAAGCAGATGAACAGAGCTGTCCTAAAAGAATTCTCTGACCAAAAGGCCCAGGTCAAAATAATGTTAGTAAACAACTGCTAAGAGCATGGATGTTTCCATTAGTTAAGGACAACATTTTATTCTAGCGGCTACCTTGCCAATAAAATGTAAATAATGTTTTGGAAGGAGTTCAATTATCTGGTGCAGCAATGTAGTTGAAATAAATAAAAGCATCCACCTGTCACTTCTCTTCCCACCTACCCAGCCATTGCCGAGACTGAGAATGGATAAAGGTCCTGGATGTCAGAATGAAAGGGAGACTGGGTATTGAGTATCACTGAGTACCTCTTAACCAGCAAGGTAACTGGGCATGTCAGAGATTAAACCAACCATCTTACAATGACAGTAACTAAAAGTAAGCAGGAAGTTCAATCTCAGAGTAGATGGATTTAAAAAGAAAATGTTTAATATTGTGACACTGTTCAAATTAGAACATCAAGAACCTTTCGTGATACTCTTACTAACAATAAGATCTTGAGTGTAACAGTCTTCTTTTATTGTTTCTTTTGCTTTATTGGCACAATATTAATAAGGTTTTTATTAGTCCCAGGCTCCATTCTTACGATGATTTCTAAAATCAGAAAGAATTATTCATTTCATCATTGAGCTGACCTTGGTCACCCCAGTAAAACCCGGATAAGCATAGCTAAAAAGATAACTTTCACAGTCAATAACAGAAGTAGTTGACACATTCCCAGAGCCAGACATATAGTGGGCACTCCAAAATATTGCTGAATGAATGAATAATATATATCTATGCATGGATTGTTCCTGTCTGGTTAGAATGCTGTATACCTAAGGCAAGATGAAAAAAACCTGCAAGTCATATATATAGAAACACTGTATACATATACATTACTGTGTTCAAGTAATTAAACATTTTACCTGGTATATTTTCAAGAGGCTAAACACACCTTTAAAAGATTCTATATGAGCAAAACCAGGGGAGAAATAACCACATGAATTGCAAAACAGTATATCTAGCCTGAAAGATGCTAATTCGGGTCCAGGGGGAGCTAATCAATCCCTTTGTTGAAGTAAAGATAAAACTTTTTGACAGCAAATGCTATTCTGATAAAATGGAATTTTCAATTACTCTATGAACATCTGGTTCATGCTACCATTTCTGGAGCCCAGCAGCACACTGCTTTGCAATGTCACAAAATATTCTCCATTGAGAACTCCCTATTTTGCTAAGAGATTAATTGAAATGAGTGTTTGGAAATTTAGTGAGGTGAGAGGTGAGTCGGGGGATAGGTAAGAGGATAAGGAAAGGATGTTTAGTCACTGAATCATAATTTCCTTAAAAGCCTAGAGGAAATTAAATTACACATTGTTGGTAGAGTGTTGAAAGTGTAAACGTCTTAATACACCTGTGGTTGAAACTAGAATATGCATAGTATGCAGTCTACAGAACATTTTCATGGCTAATTTGCAAGCAGTGGTTACATTAGACACAGATCAAGTTCTTCAAATCCATGTTTTACACAACAAACATGTTAAATGATATTCAGGCGATGAAACTAGCAAATAAACAAGTTTAGGAACATGCAGAAGAACCTACACTCCGAGAAATAAAGCAATCATTATATTGCATTTTGGTGATTTTAGATGTCAAAATCAGCTAGATGTTATCACAAATTTCTGTATGTTCCTTCCATTTGGTATCAATTAGCATGGGAGGGGAAACCAATTCAGTGTTGTAGTGAACTCCAAATTAGGTGCATATTACAGCAATTAGAGTCATCTTTTCAGCTGATGAATTTATAATCAATAATTAAAATCATAAGGTAAGAGATTGAGTGTGATTTGAAACAAATTAGTTGGGCTTGGGACTAGTATGTACGGTTCTAAGACATGAACCTATAAACTCTAATTTCATATCAGGACTACACATTTGAGTATGCATAATGGGATATCCAAGTCATCACAAATGGGCATGCAAAGAAGCAAGGAGACAAAAGCCTCTTAACCCAGCACTATTCAATCCAAAAATAACCCTGACAGGAAGAGATTCAAGCCCAGTGAAACCCCCAATTGTGCAACAAACCCATGAGCCTCTGGCATCTCTGACCACCCTACTTTTTGGCTATTTTTCTTAGAGATTGTCTGCAGAAATTGCATAGGGAGAAATTTTTGTCCCTGCCAGAAGGTGGTAATTTTACCAAATAACTCAAATTCACGGAGGGAAAACAATGGTTAAAAGATTTGAGTGCGACTCCCCAGCTCAGCACCAAATCACATCAGGAACCAGATCAGGTGGTAAAATCTGCTGAGTGATAACACTTACTTGTTCTCAAGGCACTCTGAGAGCTATAGAGAGATAGCATTGCAAAAAAGTGCCACATGCCAGTAGAAGTACAGGATAAAGAACGTTCCATCACCTTCTTTTCTGGGAAGCCATGACAAGAGCTACAGTATGGGGGACAAGCTGAGACATATTAATTCAAAGGCACTGCAGATGATAAATGTAATTCAGTCACCTGGCAACCAGGAAATTCAGCTCAGCCAGTTCATCAACCCACTGACCTGGTTTTAGCCTTGTCGAGAGTGATACCAGGATTGATAATAATCCAGAAAGAAGAGATTCCTGCCATTCCATCATATCTCCACCCTGACCCAGCTCACAGATGTGTTTGGTTGGGGCAATCAAAATGCAATCAGTGATTGTCTTTCAACCACTGTGCCTTAGGATAAAATGAAAAACATTTATTATATGAATCCAAGTTTGAGAAAATGCTAGAAAATGTTAATTTTTGAATCATTGCTATTGTTTGAGGTAGCAATATTCAACCCAAGTAAACTGGTGACACCACCTATGTGGCTAGCCTAGAGTTGATTGGGGATACAATTAAGTACCATTATGGAAAGCTCAGTAGTACTGGGATATCATAAGGTAGAGCCAGAGATGTAAACAAGGCCTGAATTCCCTTTGTAACTAAACTTTAATGACTCAACCAAATTGAAAAGAACAAACCCGAGGGTTGGTTCAAGGTTTAGCCACTGCTAGAATAATGGAAAAAATGAAGATACATAGATAAGAATCGAATATTGAGAAACAAAATGTAAAAGTGTTTCCAAAACAGAAGAGCAAAAAACTGTGTGTGTGTGTGTGTGTGTGTGTGTGTGTGTGTGTGTGTGTGTGTAATCCCCATCTTAAACATAGGAGAGTCTTGGGATAATGCCACACATTTGCTTTAGAAGTCTTATTATTACAAATCTACAGTATCTATACACAATACATCCCTTTTGTAAGAAACACTCAGAAAAATTAGCTGCAGTCCACTGGTACTATTTTCCTAGAGACATGTGACAAAAAACTAAAACAAATGTTGTTCTAGCCAGGCACAAAGTGAGAATCAATTATGACTATTTCTTTTCCTGGAGTCATTTCATTTTAGAGAGCATCTAACTAAAACCCTTCCTGATACAAATGAAAAAGCATTTCTTTGAGACACAAGACTAGTAAATGATACATATCAGTCTGTATCCTGTGACACGCTGCTAATCCTCTGGGAATCAAATAGCCTCTGTTTCAGTTATATAAATGTTTGATTTTTTTCATCTTTAGTCTTAGTAAGATTACCCAGAAAGTATAGTATCTCTGCGGATGGCACCACTCACCAATGAGAGAAGGCAGCAGTGCATAATCGGTAGTGACATATATATTATAGACTTTGACACTTGGATCTGCTGGGGAGGGGATGGACTAAACAATTTAATAGAATCTACAGTGACTAACTTTTTCTCCATAGAAAACATTTTATTTTGTGGATCTTACATTTTTTTCCCCTTTGGATTCATTTACAAGACCAAAACAAAAGCATTTAATGATGTTTACAGTGAAATGAAACAGCTGAAGACCAGCACATAATCATCATATTTTGTTTTCTCATCTTTAAGTCTTTTAGCAGTGGGGCTTCCAGCTGAGCTTGCGTCTAGCTTCTCTCAAGACATAGCCAAGCATTCTGAACCTTCACTGAGCCTAAACACCAAGCTGAATTCATAGTTCTTAATTGAAAAAGACAGGCTGTTTGTCCAACATGTTTGCATCAGTAAAACACTGAAAATGACATTTGTGCTCAAGTCCATCTGAACATTCTGCCTTAGCTGAACTCTGCTAATGTTTTTATACCCTGGTTTATGCTTGGCTCCTCTTGCTAAAGCATGTGTGGCTGAGTTCCCAAAAATAGACTCTTCTTCATACATGAGGATGCCGTTCCTGACTTGTGCTTTGAGGCATTTTTGACATGCACAGAATGTTACATTAAGTCAGCCATGTTTTCTTACCCTGGTCTCTCCTATGAACAATGGCATGCATTTGCATGGTAGCTAGTGGGATTTGGCATCACAGCCCCATAGACAAAATGGGAAGTTTTGTACTCTCTCCTCAGTAAAGATTATGCAATCTGTGGTCAGAGAACAGAGTCTCTTTCTGGGTAAAGTTAACCAACTTGATATGGAAATAAAACTCACCCCTTGGGTGTCATAAGTGCTGTGCTCTCTGCAACTCAACTGATCAGTCCAATTCATGTACTAAAGCAAAAAGAGGCATTTATTCCTAGTGAGAAGGCATCTGTTAATTTCCTATGTGTGCAGTGCAGTTATGATCGATGAGTATGTATACAATATGTATAGGTAGTTGGCTTTTTAAATGCCTGAACGTTATATGATCATACGGGATCCACTCATGGAGGGTGAAGAAGAGTCTGGACAGGTGTCAGGACATCTCAAAACCCTGTAGGAAAATACACTCATTACAGTAAAGTAATGCAGTGAGCCTCCAAACATCCTGGGTTCTTTGGAATCTATGGTTGCAACTTACAGCCGATCAACCCTTACCATGGTCAGGCATCTGAGATCCCATGGAGGTCACGCTGGTGTTCAGCACATCATTGACAGCAGTGTCACAATACAGGCTTCGCTGGACGTCATGCTCACTGTCGGTCTGGTCACTCTCCTCATGGCCGCTATCCTTCAGGCTGTTGCCCTCTAAGTCCTTGAAGGTGGAGCTGCTGGGTTAAAGAAAGAATGATAATTTATAACTGTGATAGATCTGATTTTTAAAACTCTTTCAGAGCCAGGATGATGTCAGCTCTGTGGTGAGGCCAACAGCAACTGGATTGTCCAACAGGGCAGGAGGAAGAGAAATTTCTGTTTAAAGATCACGGAACTTAACATTGTAGAGAGGTTCCCACTACTGGATGCTGATGCAGCTAATACTTTCATTCACTTATCTTCATTGCATCACTACTGGCGAGGCGGAAGAAGCTACAACTCTGAAACAACCACCTGCAAAAAATATCATCATTTCAGAAGGTTTTTTTCTCTTCTTACATAATCAAATTAAAATAATAACAGCTAATGTTTACTGAGGGATTACTGTGCATGAGGCACTGTTCTAAGTGCTTGACATGAGTTAACTATTTTAATAATCACAACTCTATAAGAGACAGGTGCTATTAATATTCACATTTACAGGTGAAGAAAAGAGAGGCACATGGAAGTTAAATAACTTGTCCAAGGTCACATAGCTGGTTAAAATGTAGCAGATCTAAGACCAAACCCAGGCAGTCTAGCTGCAGAGCCTGGACCCTTAAACACTATGTATACTACCCCTCCAAAGATATCTACTAACCAACTGTGAAAATGAAAGTGGAAGAAATTGAGGTAATGCAATTCAAATAGAAAGGGTTATCAGGATCAGAGAACTCAGGTCAGTTTTAACTGAGAGAGGTTGAGGGACAGAGTCAAAGAAAAAGAGGAGAGGTAAGAGCTGAGAAGAAGAGAGCCTTCGCGCATGGAAAGTAAGACAAAAGTGAGAACCAGAGAGTGAACTCTAAGGAAACTGTGAGTGTAGCTATGCTAAGAACATGGCAACTTGCAGCTCAAGACTTTGTGTGTAAATTTTTCTTGCACCTATTAAATCAATCCACCATTCAATGCACTAAGCATACTACCCAAAATCCCCACACCATTTCTCACGAAATAGAGAACAATACATTAGGTACATCCATAGAGGCCCCATCTGCTATTTCTAATACTTTGTGTGTCCTGACAGAATCTGCAGCTGTGCTCCACCACGGACCATAAATTATGCATCTGAAATACCTAGTGAATGGGGAATCCATTCCCTAGTCAGTGAGGAAGCTGCAAAGGCATACTCAAGAAAATGTGTTGTTGTCTCAACAAGGGAGAGTGGCACACTTGTGAATTAGGACAAGTCTCAACAGACCTACTCTACCTCTGAAAAGGGAGCCCTGTGGAGATGACACTGCAAACTCGCTTGATCTGCTCAACCTTGAACATCCACAGGCCTGGCTCTCTGAAGCTTTGATAAGAACATTCAGTACATACGATGAAGAGCTATGCCATGGACACAATGGCTACATTGTCAATCTCCACACTTGGTCAAAAGGAAATCACAGCAGATTTTTAACATATGACCAACGTAGATGTAGAATGCTTGCTGCCCTGAATATGAAAAGGAAAAGACCAAAAGGGCAGTAACTGGAAAGCCATAATTGTCAGAAAATGAAGGGCAGAAGGGGGTGAAGCATTGACCTGTTTGCTAATTATTTTCAGAAAGAATAACTGAGCATCAACTGTATTAAAACTAAAATCATTCAATAGGCCAACTCACTCAGCTCCTCCAAATTATGTCATGCAGCTACTCAGCCCTGTGGACCCACCAGGATGCAGTCCTATTCAAAAATCAATCATCTTATGAGTCTTTTATGGTCATTAAGACCAAATGGAAACACATGCTTTAAAGTGTGTCACCACCTCTAGTTTTATGGCACAGATTTGGAGGCTTCCTGTAAATACTAATCACACAGCATGAACAGATTCAAAGTTTGTTTTTTAGAAAAAAATCTGGTCCTGCCCACATGCACCCCTGCACCTCAGGAGAAAGGAAACCTGCCTGGATAGTATTACTAGTTCCTACATTTTTATAACAAATAATTTTTTGACCTGCATTTCTGCTATCTGAAGCATGTGAAAATTTCTTTAATCCACAATGCAAAATTGTTACCTTAAACCACAGAATTCAACCCTGAATTGACTGCATTTCAGCAGTTGCTAAAACTTGCTTGAGACATACGATGGTGAGGGGTGTAGAATAAGAACAATGCAATTAACCATTCCTTAGAGCAAGGTTCTCAACCTCGGCACCATTGATATTTTGGGATGCATAATTCTTTGTTGTGGGTTGGGGGGGTGTCCTGTGCATTGTAGGATATTTAGCAGCATCCCTGGCCTCTACCCACTAGATGCCAGTAGTGCCCCTCCCAGAAGTTACAACCAAAAATGTCTCCAGACTTTGCCAAATCACTCCCAGGTGAGAACCACTGCTCTAGGTTCTTTAAACTCTATTCCTGTAGCATATTAGATTTCCTGACTGTAGTGGAAAGAGCATTGAACTTGGAGTCATTAGAACAAGTGATAATCCATAATCTGCCACTTCATCTATGGGAACCTGGGCCTGATAGCTAATGTCTTGGTGCCTAGACTTCCTTGTCTGTAAAATGCATTTGCTGGGAATTCCCTGGCGGTCCAGTGGTTAGGATTCCATGCTTTCACTTCCAAGGGCCCAGGTTCAATCCCTTGTTGGGGAACTATGTACATCATTGTTAATCAACTATACTCCAATTTAAAAAGAAAAAACTTAAAAAAATAAAATAATAAAATGCATTTGCTAAAACCTCTTTCAAGAGGCCATTTTGAGGACTCAATGAGATAGTTCACATGAAGTACCAGGTATACACAAATGCTCAGTAAATGGTTATTGTTTAATATGATCATTACTCCCATATATGGTAATGCTTTCATTGAGTTACTATTAAATATTATGTCCGTAGTCTTTTTATAGGATTGATATAGGAAATGTATATATAAATAATGTTTCTATATCTTCTATAAACTATAGTCAGACATTGTCCACTATGTTAATTTCTTCTAAAATTCAGGGACAGGAAAAAAATTCTCCTGTCAAATGTGTATCCTTCCTTTATTAAAAAATGAGAATGGGGGGAAAGGCGGAAGATGGCGGAAGAGTAAGACGCGGAGATCACCTTCCTCCCCACAGATACACCAGAAATACATCTACACGTGGAACAACTCCTACAGAACACCTACTGAAGGCTGGCAGAAGACCTCAGACCTCCCAAAAGGCAAGAAACTCCCCATATACCTGGGTAGGGCAAAAGAAAAAACAGAGACAAAAGAATAGGGACGGCACCTGCACCAGTGGGAGGGAGCTGTGAAGGAGGAAAAGTTTCCACACTCTAGGAAGCCCCTTCGCGGGCGGAGACTGCGGGAGGCGGAGGGGGGAGCTTCGAAGCTGCGGAGGAGTGCACAGCAACGGGTGCGGAGGGCAAAGCGGGGAGATTCCCGCACAGAGGATCGGTGCCGACCGGCACTCACCAGCTCGAGAGGCTTGTCTGCTCACCCGCCGGGGCGGGCGGGGCTGCGAGCTGAGGCCGGAGCGCAGGGAGAGGACTGGGGTTGGCGGCTTGAACACAGCCTGAAGGGGTTAGTGCACCACAGCTAGCCGGGAGGGATTCCGGGGAAAACCCTGCACCTGCAGAAGAGGCAGGAGACTTTTCCTTCCCTCTTTGTTTCCTGGGGCGTGAGGAGAGGGGTTTAAGAACGCTGCTTAAAGGAACTCCAGAGACGGGCGCGAGCCGCGGCTAAAAGCGCGAACCCCAGAGACGGGCGCGAGCCGCGGCTGAAAGCGCGGACCCCAGAGACGGGCGCGAGCCGCGGCTGAAAACGCGGAATCCAGAGACGGGCGCGAGCCGCGGCTGAAAGCGCGGAATCCAGAGACGGGCGCGAGCCGCGGCTGAAAGCGCAGAATCCAGAGACGGGCGCGAGCCGCGGCTGAAAGCGCGGAATCCAGAGGCGGGCGGGAGAAGTTAGGGCTGCTGCTGCCGCCACCGAGGGGCCTGTGTGCGAGCACAGGTCACTCTCCACACCCCTCTTCCGCGGAGCCTGTGCAGCCCGCCACTGCCGGGTTCCCGGGATCCAGGGACAACTTCCCCGGGAGAGCGCACAGCGCGCCTCAGGCTGGTGCAAAGTCACGCCGGCCTTTGCCACCGCAGGCCCGCCCCGCACTCTGTGCCCCTCCGTCCCCGCCGGCCTGAGTGCGCCAGAGCCCCCAATCAGCGGCTCTTTTAACCCCATCCTGTCTGAGCAAAAGACAGACGCCCTCCAGCGATCTACACGCAGAGGCAGGGCCAAATCCAAAGCTTAGCCCTGGGAGCTGTGAGAACAAAGAAGAGAAAGGGAAATCTCTCCCAGCAGCCTCAGAAGCAGCGGATTAAAGCTCCACAATCAACTTGATGTACCCTGCATCTGTGGAATACCTGAATAGACAACCAATCATCCCAAATTAAGGAAGTGGACTTTAGGAGCAAGATCTATGATTTTTTCCCCTTTCCTCTTTTTGTGAATGTGTATGTGTATGCTTCTGTGTGAGATCTTGTCTGTATAGTCTTGCTTCCACCATTTGTCCTAGGGTTCTATCCGTCCATGTTTTTTTTTTTAATTTTTTTTTCTTAATAATTAATTTTAAAAACCTTATTATACTTTACCTTCGTTCTTTCTTTCTTTCTTTCTGTCCTTCCCTCCTTTAGACAACGAATCATCCCAAATTGAGGAGGTGGTCTCTGACAGCAAGATTTAGGATTTTTCCCCATTTACCTCTTTTAGTGAGGGTGTATGTGTATGCTTCTGTGTAAGATTTTGTCGGTATAGCTTTGCTTCCAACATTTGTCCTAAGGTTCTTTCCGTCCCTTTTTTTTTTTGTTTTTTTCTTCTAAATAAGAATTTTTTAATTCAATAACTTTATTATACTTTATTTTATTTTTACTGTATCTTCTTTCTTTCTGTCTTTTTTCCTTCTTTCCCTCCTTCCTTCCTTCCTCCCTCCCTCCCTCCTTTCTTTCCTTCTTGCCTTCTTTCCTTCTTTGCTTCTTTCTTTCTTTCTTCCTTCCTTCCGACCCTCCTTTCC